GCTCAAAATCAAAGTGAATGAACTTGACATATCTATGCTGCTGCGTGTCCTATTTTGTTCTTTCTCTTCTTGTCAGCTCCTATTTCCTCACTTATTTCCACATTTCTTTTCCCTCTTTTTTTTTTTTTTTTAACCATTTGTCTTGGTTTGGGCTTGTGTTCTGGCTGCCATTTGTCCTGAAAAATGCTGGGGCTGATAAATACCTGTGCTTGCACGGAGAAATTCTGGCATACTGATACTTTTGAAATTGTAATCTAGTTTAAAATTCCAGGCTTGCGCACAGACACGGTACTTTTGGGGAGATACTGCTGCTCTGGTGATGAGAAGATGAACAGCAGATAACAGAAATGCCTTTATTTTCCTTCAGTGCCATGTAATGGAGCTGTGCTTCCCAGGCTGGTTGTGTTTACTGGACTTCTGAATGAAGTTTAAAGACCAACATCATCAGGGATGGGATGGAAGAAAAAAACAGAGTTGTTACTGCAAGTGTAAATGTTATTTACAATTATTGCATTTAATAAAATACACAACACGGCTATCTGTTAATTGGGTTTGAGTGCCATGAAAGCTAGTTTAGTTGTGACAAAGTTATTAAAATTTGAGAGTTAACAGTGATTTCTGGGGCCAAAAGTTTGGGAAGCAGTTATTTATGAGAGTGGCTCAGTTGATACATTGGTGAAAGTCATTATGCTTTATTTCTATTGATGCTAAAAAAAATGTTGTTCTGGTATAAAATATATGCCATGAACACCAGGCGTTGGAAATGACAAGTCATTTCAAAATATGTTTAACAGTTATCAGTAAATAATAAACTATAATAAACAGTCATCAGTAAACAAATACAGACAAACATATTTAGATGTTCATCTTCCATCCACGTGACTAATTTCCACTGAAATAATGGACTGGGAATTTAGGTATTGTAATGTAGAGACTGATCAAAGAACTTTTTATTGTAGCACTGTGACTTCTTTTACCTCCTCCACTGACATCTTAGGGTGGTCTTATTTTATTTTAATGATTGAGTGTCTTGAAACATTGACTCCTTCCTACTCTGATGTGGATCTCTATATTGGGACTTCAGGTTTTGAGCAATTATGGCTAAACTGGGAATTTAGTCTCTGAATATCCTATATATTCAGTTTTCCTTAGGTTGGGGGGTTTAGTTTGGCTGAGTGTAGAGAGATGTTAGAGGATCAGTCATGAAATTCTCATCTGGCTCTGAAGTTCCCTGCAGTTTGGAGGGTGTTTGTATCTGGGATTGTGTTTTGTTTGGGCAGCGATCCTGCTGATTGGAATCGCATAAGCTTGGCAACAGAAAGGAGGCATCCAGCCAGAGCAAACTCAAAGTACACAGGGTCTGAGAACAAAACGTTTCACATGAATAAAATTGTGAGGAAACAGAAATTCTTTAAACTTGTAAGAAAACAAGGCAATGTGAGCATCATCACACAGGCAGCTGTGTGATCAGGGCTATCGATAGGGAGTGCAAGTTTTATTTATGAAATTATGATAGTTGTAGAATATTCCCCAAGAAACTGGTATTAGAGTGAGATGGAATAACTCTCAGTGCTTTCATGCAAAGATTCAGTAGCATCTTTGCTGAAAGGCTTTTTGACACTTAACTGCTTTCCGTTTCCTCTGTACCATACACTGTAGCTGGGCTTGCCATCCTAAAAAGGTTCCCTGTGTCCTTGTCCTGCTTTTCTATCTGCAGTCCTGTGTCCCCCTTCCCTTCATCTATCTGTTTTTTCTTTATATTATAGGTTTTTCCATCAGAGCTTTATCCTTGACTCGCTTGTTACGTTGAGTAATAGCAGGAGAAGCCGAGGAGGGTCTCTGCCTGGCAGTGGGGAGCATTGCTTGCAGCACACCCAGTACTGCCTCTCCTGGTGCTTTCCTTTCCCCAGTATCATGCCTTGCTTGTTTTGATGCTGTCTTCTGCTCGGTGTCCAGTCATACAGATTTGAGCTTACCCTGGTAAACACAGATTACTCTTTTCTGTGCCAAAATGCTCCCTGCCGTCCCCATCTTTCTCCTACGCTATCTGGCATGGGGGCGCTAGGAGCAGGGAGATGTGAGGAGGGGAAATGGTGGCAGGCACCACTTTAGCTTCTAATGCGCAATCATGCAGGGTGGTGTTGGGCACGTGGAAGGGTGATGGAGGTCTGTTTTTTCTTTTTTTTTTTTTTTCCCCCACTCTCTTTTGTTGTGTGATGTTTCTCAGATGCTTTGCCCCAAGATCCTTGGGGGTGCCATGCCCTTGGTGTGGGCATGCTGAGTTGTGCCGTGGGCCTGCCCAAGCTCCTCTACTTCCAAAATGTGTCACAGGGCACCCACAGGCAAGTCCGTCGTCCCCTTGTGCCCGTTGCCATTTCTTTGCAATTGAGGGATGTACCTTCAGACAGTTACCTGCTTTTTCACCTAAGTAGCATCTGTTACCTGAAAGAGATTGAATGGACTTAGTTTGATAGGCTGGCAAAATACAGCTTTTGACATGCTAGATGAGATAGGCTTTTAATAACCAGATTTCTGGAGTTGGATCAGTTTCAAGAAGATTACTCGGGCCGGATCTGCTTGAGAATAAAGAGTAGTGACGTGATCTCGGATTTGTGCGTGCCAGTCAGTTTTGTGTTACAGAGCAGGCTGCTGATGGGATGATTTCTGACTTTACAGAGGGGATGGAAGCACTTATCAGAGGGTTTTATTGTAGTGTTCAGTACAATGTTTATATGAACTGCTAGTAAAGGATAAATAAATACAGCACAGTAAAGTTTAATATGGGGGAGGGGAAAGTATTTAAATTGTATTAGCAATATTTGTTTAATAAGAAATGGATCAGATGTGACACTTATCTGTACTGGATAGCATTTGCTTTAAACAAAACAAAGCCTTGAAATGGATCAGTTTTCATATGAACAGTATCAGAATTCTTTTCTTGCCGAAAAGCTAGAGGCTTGGGGTGGGGTGGTCCTCAGGTCACAGCTGTGCTCATGTCACTGATGGTGTAACCATATTGCTAAAGGACTACTGTGTTGTCGTCATCTCTGACCAGGAGTGCAAGAGTGGAGTCTTATATCTACAGACTGGATATGTTGGTAGTCAAATTCCACTGGCAATAGGCGAAAAGGGACATTTGGACTTTCTAAAATTCTCTTGCAATTCATTGTACTTGGTTGTGTCTTTCCTCTCCTAGGCTGCTGTGTCTTGCTGTGGGATGCTGCTGAAAAGTTTTGGTTTCATTCCAGAACTAAATGGATTTCAAAGGTAGAGGAAGTACTTGCACTGAAGTAGTAAATTATAGAGGTTATTTTTGAATTTTCCAGGGACTGATGTTTTGCTGATGCTCTAGTGTGGATTTCATCCGGGAATTCCTTTGTAGGTGCTATAGAAGGATGAGATGCCCAGAGGATTGCTTCTCATTCTGGCAAACCCCTCTTTCAGAGGCTTTGAACTTTCAGAATAACTTTTTCACAAGTTAACATCTTATCATTTGGGGGTTTGCACTTAATGTGTGTCTTTGGCAAAATTTGACCAAATACAGGTCATCTGGAAATGCGATGCCAGTTTATGCAGTCGTATGTTGGTTGTAATGCTGATGTTAAGAGATAATGGGGGCTGAGGGCTAAGGTGCTGAAGGCTTTCTTACTTATGTTCACCATGTTGCAACCTGATTAGCCTGTAAACTGTGTTCATTTTGCTTATCCCCTATTGCTGGATTACAGATTACAATGAGTTACAGTCCCCTCTTTCTTGACATTTATTTTTATATTCACATCCAATATATAATCCTTTCATAGATTTATTGAATTTGAGTCTGTGTTTTATTTCCATCCCTGAAGGTATTTAAACGAAGGGTAGACGTGGCACTCGAGGACATGCTTTACTGGTGGACTTGGCAGTGATAGGTTAACGGTTGGACTCGATGAGCTTATCTGTCTTTTCCAACCTCAACGATTCTGTGATTCTATGAAAATGAAAAGATCCACCAGCCTATGCTTGGCTGCTGAGTACTCAATATTGTGAACAGCGGTGTTTAGTTAAGACCTGAAGATGAAGAGCTGTGCAGAAGTGTTAAGCATTATTATTGCAAATTGTCAGTGCATACTTTCCTCCTCCAGGGCACGTTTAATTGTATAGAATCACAGTTGTTTTCTCCAAGGCATTTGGCCTGAGTTGTGGAAGTGTCTGTATTTTTGCTGACAAACTAAACCAAAACCCAAATGCTGTTAATTTTTAGTTTTAACAGCAACAGAAATTGTGCTTGGATTGAATACATAGCACATAAAATTTGCAAATTGAATGTTGTGAAATAGTAAATCTAGAGTTAATGTGTGACTGTTGGGCTGATAACAAAATATACGTTGAAAACTATTTAGAAGTTCTTGATTCTTATGTTCAACTAACCTGTAGCTAAGAGGATTAGTGATGCCAGGGTTTTCATTGAAATAGGGAGCGCTTTGAAGGTCACCAAGGAGGCAGGTATATATTGTACTTCTGTAGTGACAGTCTTGGCGTGCTACAAGTTTGGGCTACCAGTTACACACCTTTCAGTTTTCTTCTGTAGTGGGAAAGAATGTCATTAAGACTGGTAAACTAAGCAAAAGAAAATGATGGAACTTGAATCCTTGAATAAGCAAAACTATGGTTTTGTATTAAGATAATTTTCCAATGTTATTGGGGGCTTTACTTAAATTTTACTCTGAATGATTTCAGCAAATAGGAAAACACAATGCTAATTACAGGTCTGATCCTTTCCTTGGCAATAAAGGTGTTTTGTTTGCTCAAGGAATTTTAAAACTTGCTGGCAATTTCTTACTGTTATGTTGCTCCTTGCATTTCTTTGAAACATAAAGTCTATAGCAGGAGCACCATCTAAATGGATAAAGGATGAATTATGTGCAGTTTTGAGCTGTTGTTATAGTCATACCAGTTAAGAATACCTTCTTTTGATGATTTTCAGTATAAAAGCTGCCAAATGAACCTAGTGGTTCTGGCACATGAAATGTGAATGGTAGAATGTTCCCTGAACTTTTATTCACTGAATTACCAAAGTCATGCTTTTCAAGAACTTTGTGAACTTAAAGCACTTTAAAGAAATATTCTGGGTTCACAGCAATGGAGAGCTAACGTCTCTTCTCAAAAAAATACATTGGCTACTGTTATAGGTCAGCATTTGCCAACAGTTTCCGCAGGAGATGCCAGTTTGGAGGGGAAACTAAGAACTAGGTTCAGCGAAGCACTTTATCCTGTTCTTGGCTTAAAGCACGTGAATAATCCCATTGACTACCCACGTGTGCTTTACTGGGACTGCTCACATAGTGAAAGTTAGGCATGTGTTTAAATAACTTGCTTATTTGGGGGCTCACTGCGTGATGTCTCCTGGCAGAGACTTGATTTTCTTATGGCAGCCATCATATGACCTGTGTGCAGGGAGCGCAGCGTTGTCTGCGCTAGCCACGCAGTCCAAAGAAAAAGGCTATTTCTGTGTCCACCCCCAATCCGTCCTGCACTTCTCTGGCAACTAATGATCTGTTTGCTGCCAATTGTGCTCTAGTGTTTTTGGCACCCAACCACTCCAACTTGCTGTTCATACAAGTATTGAATTGCCTTTGTAAGGCAGAGAGTAGTCTTTTCCATGTTTAAGACTGTATATGTAGTTGTTAAAACATGAAAAAAAAGTAGATTGTTGTCACAGCTTTCCTCATTTTGGTGAGATTGTGCTCCCTTTGTCAGTAGTCCCACTGAAGTTGATAGAGGTGCTAGCAGAGGAGAACCACCATTTCAGAGGTCCAAGCTCAGTACTCAGAGGGGCTAAATGGAGTTTTTTCATCTATTGAGTATCTAATGGAAGCACTGTTCTTTATTTGAGAACCTCTGTAAACAGATGATCTATGGAAACAGAGCTCTTTCAGCACACAGAGAAGGAGAAGTTAAATGCTAGGACAGGATCTTCTTCAACCTGATATTTTGCAACCATTAGCTCTGGTTTGATTCAAAATTGGCCCACCAGCAAAATAGTACAACTTCAGGTTAAAAATACATTTAGGTAAGTTTTCCACCTCTGCCTTCCTCTCCCATCCCCTGCACACACAAGGCAGCAGATGACCTTGCAGATAGCATTTCCCCCTCCTTGAAAAGCGGCCGGTCACAAGCGGGGAATTGCCATGACCTGCACATGGCAGGTCTTCAGCACCCTCTCCATTCTGCATATTCTCTCCTCCAGAAATACAACCTCTGCAGTAAGTTAGCAGACCTAGAACGTATGTATAAAAGCAAGTCAAGCTAATAGAACTACAGTTGTGTAGACAGCAAGTAGTTAATGGGGCCAGCAAGCCCAGCGCTGTGGTTGGTAATCAGCAGTGCTTCTTCAGAATCGGGATCTGAAACTTTGAGCTTGCTTTACACTTGTCATGGCTGGTTATCTGTTGTTTAGCCTTTGCTAACAACTTCACTAGAGAAACCCAGGAAACTCCAAACAAAAGGCTGTTAATCGTACTGAAAGGTAAAATGAAATAGGTTTTCTCAGTGAATTTAGTAATCCTGGCTGGCAAAGAACTCTGTTATCTTCAGAAACGTGTCAAAGAATATTCTTTAATGTATAGTCATCTTAAATGGAGTACTCTTTCGCTGGAACTGTGTTTGGGAGAGTGAGTGGGATAATATGTAATATGAGCCAGACAAAAAATAATATGAGTAGATCTCTTCACTGGGATAGAAACTTGAATGCTTGCACAAACAGCACGGAGGCACTAAAGTATTGCTGTAACAGGCTGTAACTTCATGCGTGAGGTACAAAAACAAGTACTATTTTCACAGACTGTTACTGTTTATGCCTTGCATATGCTTATGGGAGTGTTTAAGGTGCTCTAGATCCAGTATCATAACAATTATTAGACCTAAACACTGGTGAGCTAAGGATTAAACTGTTTTAGAAGTGTATTAACAGGCTTTCCGTTAGCTAATGATAAAGTAAGGAAGTCTATTTCCAAGAAATTCTCATGCATTTTCAATGGAATACTTGAATCCACAAAAATCTGTATGAAAACAGTATAGTATCTAAATAGTTTATTTATACACAGGGAATGAATCAAGTGTTTAATAGGCACTCTCCTCACCTAAAGCACAGGACTGAAAAGCAAGGACCTGAGTTGATTTTCTAGCTCTGATAGAGACTTCTTATACGGTTCTGGGAAATCACTTAGCATCTTCATTTCTGCAAGCCAGAACCCATAATGTTTGTTTGCCTTGCAGAGGTGAAGGGGAGGCTGAGGAAAGGGGTGACTGCAAAACAAGTTAAGAATCTCCCATCAGAAGTCAGAAAAAATGGCTTGGTTTTGAAAAAAGTTATCTGGAGTCATTGCACATGCGTCTAATAACTGCTGATTTATAAGAGTCAAGTTATGAAGCTTTAATAAATACATATTTCTTTAGACAGTGCTGCAGTATGTTACTAGTTGGGAATACTACATTGATTTGCTTCATATCTGCATATTTCCTCCCTTAGATACGTAGTAGCATGCGAAAACGTTCAGCTTCTCAAATGAAGGTCAGTTCAATTTTGTGGAATCAGGGGAGTCAGAGAAACATCTACACGTTGAAAAATTTCTCTGACTCCCCCGATTCCACAAAATTGATTTGGAAATCTTTCAAGGATTGGCTTTCTTCACTCCAAGCAATTGCTGAGAAACTTTTCATTCAATGACATTACTGACCACTTGCATAGTTCTTCACCCAAGCCTGGGGAGTTTTCTTGTCTGTTATAGCAAGTGACAAGTTTTAAATGACATCTGTTGGTTAGTACCTGTAGTAGCATTTACACTGGAGACTAGAGGAACTATTCCTTACAACAGAAAAGAGTTTAAAATTCACATGCTAAAGGCAAACCGATGAAGCATTCAGCTCAGTGGGAACGGTAACATCTACAAAGGTCAGTGGGATGAGATTTAAGTACAGAGGAAAAAAATGAGAATGGATGAATCCATAGTTCTTTGAATGGTCTTTGACTCCCTGTTCTTCCCTCTGTATGGTCATTAGTAGCAGAACTGGGTCTATGAACAGTTTTATAATATGCCTGGGAGTGATCAGAGGTTGAATTTAGACCCTTTTTGAGACATTCATGGATTCTAATGAATCCTCTCATTTTGTGTGTGTGTATAGCTTTTTTTTTTTTTTTAATTAAAAACTGTCTCCACATTGCTAATAGTAATAATAAATGTTCACTGTCTTAAGTTATAAAACTTGTTAACTCTCCCCATGGAAACTTCCAAGGCACTGAACAGCAAGTGAAACACGCAGACATGTCCAAATATTAACTCATTTTTCTGCACTAGAACTGGAGATAATTGCTCTTCTTTCTCTGTTTAGCACTTTCAGACCATGTTAAAGACCAAGTTGAATGTCTTAACTCTTCGGAAAGAGCCTCTCCCGACAGTGATCTTCCACGAACCAGAAGCCATTGAGCTGTGCACCACAACTCCCCTCATGAAGACCCGGACTCACACTGGATGCAAGGTACTTGGGAGTATAAACTTAAGGAACGAGACCACTGTGGAGGTGTTCCATGTATGTGTGAGGACTCTGAAGAGCCCAAAGTAACCAGTGTGGTTGTCGTCGTTCTGGAAACCCCATTAACTGCTACTATTACTATAAAATTTGTAAATGAAAGTAGTCATTTGGCATTTCTGACCAGAAGTTTTGGGCTTCAGGGAAAAAGTTCTGGGTTGTGTGGCACAGTGCAAATTGTAGAGGATTTCTAACAGCCTGCAGTGAACATCGCTCGTTGTAAACACTGCCGTTGTTTCTGTAAGTGCTAGTGCTGAGATGAGAGATGAAGGGCCAAACGCTGTGTATTTGTATTTAGCAATCTGTACTAAACAGAGGTATATACCCTACTGAAATAGGGTTACAGCTTAAAACTTGAAGTTAGTTTGGTTTTCTGGTGTGGTGTTTTTGTTGTTTTTTTGTTTTGGTTTGGTTTTGTGTGTTTTTTTTTTTTTTTTTGAGAGGAACAAAAAAGAAAAAAGGGGTGTTGGGGAGACTTAGATCTTGATTTGGTTAAGCAACAAGATGAATTTGCCCAGCTACATCAAAGCACAGCTTCTAAAAAAGCTCTTCTTTAAAGTTTAATGGCTTAAGAGCTTTGAGTGTGTTCTTCTGTGGAAAGAAACCATATAAAAATAGCAAACAAATCTGGTCTGTTTGCATCTTCTGTTGGAGCCATTTTCCTTAGTTGCAGAGCTCTCCTAGCCTTGCAGAGCCATGGACAGCCTTGCAGATTGAGCTGGGTACCAGTTTGGCCTGTGCTGCTAGTTGGGATGTGACAGCCAAGTCCCCTTCACCCAGCCTGGCTGTCTGTCAGTTGTAGGGAGTATCCACCTGTCCTCGAGGGTCTTGGTGAAAATGGAGAGAACTGGGCTTCAGCCTCCACTGCTCTGTAAAGTGTCAGCTCTAGAAGAGCCGATGCCTGATGCTACGTGTACTGGATAAAGTCCAAAGTGCAATTAAATGTCCTAACCCCCTCCCCTGCCAGTGTGTATACACTCACACGTGCGCACACACTCTTCCTTGTTGGAGGATCTGATGTGAGTGAGGTGGGGTTGGAAGAAATTGCTTCCTGGTGTGTTCCCCTGCTTCTCTTGGCACACTGTGTGGATGGCACGGGCTCTGGGCATGCTGTGAAGGGCTTTGCTTGGGCACCTCCATGTCTGGCACTTCCTCAGCAAAGTTTCTTCTTGGGAAGTGTCATTTTTGTTTGACTTTTTGCCTGTCACAATAGCCAAGAAACAAAGACCGCTGCTGGGTGTTGAAGCAGCGCTGCCCTGTGCTGACGTAGAGGAATGCAGGGCAAGTGACCCTAATATGCTTTGTACAGTAGCTCGTAGCATCTGCCTTTCTGTGGTAATGTCTCTTGTCCTTTATGTTGACATCTAATGAATTTTTAGAGAATATTAGCTATCATAAAAATGGTTCACAAAGTATCTGGCTTTCACCCCTAGTGAGAGAGTTCAGACATAATAATGCATTCTGAAATCAGTTTATCTCTGTGAATGTGTGCAGAATTTAAATGAGCCTTTTTACTTAACCTACAGTCCTTCAACTGGAAAAGATGGATTGCAGAGAGATGTTGAACCTCAGTGAAGAGAATCTCATTCTATATTTAGAGATCTCTTTTATTTATTCATTTATTTTTCCTGCAATATAACATAGTAGTGGTGACTAGGGAACATCTGCTGCCACAACACTCCTTTTTTCCTGCTTGCACTGTTTCTCCTTCTCCACTTCCCCCAGTAGCTAGTTCACCTCCTGCCAGTGCTGGAGTCTTATGGTGGTGTTTTTGGGGTGGTGGCCAGCCCCTCTTCAGACGATTCAGCAGTTGTGATTTCCAGTACCCTCCTTGGGAAGATGATTCCAATATATGTTGTTCCTATGGCTAAGAAATCCTCTCCAGTCATTAACTGACAGGCTCTGGTTTTACCCACTCTCTCTAGTCACAATCTCTTTCTTTTTCCCCTCTCTTTTTTTTCTGACTAAATGTATTTATCTCTTACGGGGCTTGTATCCTCCAGCTGTTTGTAGGTAATTAGCCTTCCTCTCCCCTTTCCCCTCTGATTATTAGTTTCTTGCTGAGTGATATGATAATAGTGTTGCCATAACAAAGCCAGTATCTTATAATATGAGTTTTTGCTCTTGGGGGTCTGATCTATCACTCTTATTCCAGGTGTAAGGTGGGACATGCTGTGGTGCCGCTGATACCACTGAGCCTCTCTGGTTCTGAGACATGGGCTTTTCAGGCAAGAGCACCGGATTCAGTTTTTACTTTCTTTCATGAGTCACACTCTTTTGATCCTTAATCGTTTTATTCCTCTTGACTGAAATCCCTCCAATTTTTCTATGTAATCCCATTAATGAGATAGCATCATTCTTCTGACGGAGGCTCCAAACATCTAATTTTATTGCATAGTTTTAACATAAGCTTCAGCTGGCACCATCTTGTTATGGGAATTTGACACATGCAATTGCTTTGCTGTTCAGAGGTCTGGGCATTGGTTTTCTTATGTGATTGGTCTTTTCTTTGTCCTTTCATCACAAGACAGGCTTCTCTTTTCTCTTTCATTTGGTGTTAGTTGCTGAATCCTAAAGAAACAAAACTTTTCTGCTGAGATCCAATCTCATTCTGTAATTGAATGGGATGGTTTTAACAATAGCAGAGGAATGTCTTGCTTGAAGTAATCTAGGGGGAACCCCCACAAAATCTGGAAAGTTAAATAATTGAACGAATTCAGAGAGCTTCTCTTTCCTGCCCAATTCCAGATCTGATGCAACTTTGTTGCCAGCATGTTTCCTAAAATATATTTTTTTTTTTTTTTTACTTACAGCAGAAGGCTTAAGACTCGTTCTTCCTGTTACTGCACGTCTACACCTGCCTGCTTGGGCTGGCTGTGCTGCCGCCATTGCCACCCTTCTAGACTTGTGGCCATGATTTCACCAAACAGGAGAAATAGATAGTAGTTGCACTGATTTGCAGCACAGAGCATTAGGTGCACATGTTCTGGAGTTTGTTGTGCTGGTTACTCAGTGAGACGGGTTGACTTGGAGGCTGTAGTTCCCAAAAGGCAGCTTCTTGCCCCCCTTCCTCTCCTTTCCACACCAGTCCTGTTCACAAAGGGGGGCGACAGCCCCATGCCCTGGGGTTGGACTGTCGCAGCCCCACTCATCAGACAGCCTAAAACAGAGCAGGATTTCTGGGCACAATAAAGCACTCGGACTGTGGGTTTTTCCTGGGGGGTCATTTGCTTTCAGTTGAGCCATGGTATATGTTAGGTGAGAGGCAGGTCTCTGGCCCCAGAGGAACCACAGCTTCTTGTCCTCCTCCAGCTGAGACTGCCAGGGCAGGGCAGTGGGATGCAGTGCCCAGAGGGTTGTCATCTCTCTGGCAGCTGTGGTTGAGCACCCACGTGCATCCTGCCTCTTCCCTGCGATGGATGCGGCATTTGTGAATGCTGGAGCACCAAGTGTTAAGGTCAGTAGCTGCTCTGAAGAATGAAAAAACCCAACTGGCTTATTGTATACCTGTAAATGGCAAGTCTCAGCTTAAGCTAAACCACCCTGTGCTGGGGAAGGACAAAAAAGAGTGAGAATAAATCTTTTGTTCTTCCTAGCTGGACCACGCTTTCAATCACAGCTTCCTAATTTGCTTTTATTTAAATAGAGCATGCTTCTGTATACAGGCATGAGTGTGACTTAGATGCGTGCATACAAAAATGTGTCTATCCTTGTTCATATCCTAAGGATTTTGATTAGACTGTGGCTGTCCTGCTTGTAGGTCTTTCATGTCAAATGTTGTGCACTCTTGTGTTTCAGCTGGAAACCTCCTCTTCTCTTATCGCAACACTAAGTACCACCAGATGGAAACTGAAAATCTGGAGTATCTCCAGAAAATAAGTTGCTCTCTACTCAGAAATACATGCTTTCTCTGTGACTTTTAACAGATTTTGTTTAAGTTCTGTGTGTTTTATTCTTCCTTAATGTCCTAATTGGCTTGCACTGATTCTAATGTTTCCTGATTTCTGTCCCTTTGAGCTATGGTGGTGGCATGAAGCGAACTGCCTAAATGGCTCTGTCTCTTCTGCGGTAGCTTTTCCAGGCACTGCTGCAGTAATGCAAAAGGACAGAGGTTAAAAATGTTGCCTGCGATTTTTGCAGTGGTGTCGTAGGTTTAATTTTTTTTTTTCCCCCTTTCTACTGGAAGGCTCTTCAAAGTGAAGTTAGTGCTGAATAATCAGTAGCTCATTGTTATCTGCCTGGGTCAGGTGATCTTATTCCTCCAGTTCCCACCAGTGGACAAGTTTTTCTCAGCAGCCTGGGAGGCTAAGATGAGAGGAGCATAAACAGCACAAATAATTATGTTCTTATGAGCATGCTTTTATTGAATGGGAAAATATATATTAATGATATGGCATTTGCAGGCATGATACTTGTTGCTTGTCTGTCTTATTGGATTAAGTTGGTGAGATTATTAGTTCAGGCTTTGTGGAAAGTATGATGTTGAAATTTCTGCGATGGTGTATCTTAGTTGAAGATTGATGAAAGTCTTGTTTAGCAATTTGTACAAATGGCACTAGAATGGTACTGGCATTTTAAAATCAAGTCTTGCACATATTGATAGAGATTTAAAAAAATAGCCAAGAAATAATATAAATGGAACTTTGGTCTTTCAGAATAGCTTAATTGCTTCACTCACAAGGCAAAAAAAATGGTTCCTGTACTAACCTTGCTGCAGGGTGCTGATTACGGTGGGGTTTATGTGGTGCCTGTACAGCAGGAAGGGGCCATGGCCACAGCTGGGCTTCCCTGACACAGTGTAGTGTCAGCACTTAGGCACCGAGCTTGACTACTGCAACTCTGGGACATGCCTGATGTTACACTTGCATCAACCTATTCACTGGATTTGAGGTGCTTTCTGGGAGAGCTGGGCAGTGCCTGGGGGGCCTTAACCTGTGCAATGCCAAGGG